CCCCCCCCTTCATTCGCCACACGCCAGGAACAGAATTGGCCCGAACTAGTGGAATTGGCAGCAAAAAACTAACATACAAGTGTGTCTGGTCAATAGAGCGCTTGTTCCTGCCGCTGGGTGCTGTGTGAGGACTCCGACTGTGCTCTCCGAGGAGGGCTGGACGCCGGGGACACGCTGAGGGTTCTTCTTTTCTCGCCCCCTTCGCTCTGCCTTTTTAAAATATTCATCAATGGGGTGGGTGGTTTGCTCTAGTCATTAAAATCTCTCTCTCCCCTCCCCCTCGCTTTCTCCAGGACTGCCACTGTCGAGTCTGTGGGAATATGAATCAGCAGCAGCAGAGAATGGCTGCAGTTGGGACAGACAAAGAGCTCAGTGACCTGCTGGACTTCAGTATGGTGAGCGAGCGCGGCCGGGGGGCTCGGCAGCCCCGGGGCTCTGCGGGGCTGGGAGCTGCACAGGGGAGGAAATGTGAGCCTGTAAATTGGACATGATGGCTTTCAGATGTGCCCTGTTTGTGTGCGTGCACATGTGCTGCAACTTGTTTATTTTCAAGTTAAAGCAAAGCCTCTGCCCCTCCTCTCTCCCCCCTCTCCCCCTCAAACGTGTGTTGTTTCCTTGCAGGGAGCGCAGAGAGGGTTTTTTTTTTTCTTTCTGGATGGGAAATTTTGGGGGAATTAACGGAGTTGTGTGTTCTCTGTTTAAATGCTCACGGGGTGACTGTTTCTGCAGCCATGCAGAGATGTAACTTCAGTAGCTGATTAATCAAGCTTTTTTCCTCTCCCCAGATCCAGACTATTAAACTTTTGCTCCCACAGGTTATTTTGTCACAGTTTGAAACGTGTCCAAGCTCTCCGGCGCGTTATTTTTGCAGGAGTTGGACACTTGTGCTCCCCATGCTCTGCTCCTCTGTATCCTGGAAACCTTGAGCTGCGTTTAGGAGCTGTTTATTTTCAAAGCAACAGGACCTAAAGAGTTCCCCCCGAAGGGTGTGCACAGCTCAGGGGGAGGAGAAGTCCCTTTAGTCAGGGCAGAGGGGGGTCAGTCCCTGGCACGTCCCGTGCGGCGCTGCCTCTGCTTGGCAGGTGACTCGTGGAGGGCAGAGCTGGTGTTCAAAAGCAAACAACTGTCTGTTGGGTTCCTCTGTTGTGTGCTGCACCCTCATGGCACTCAGAGCGTGTGCCTTGCTGTTTAGATAAGCAAACGTGCTGCAGAGATAGAAACAACAGCCCCAGGAGGGGGAATAGCCAGGAGTGTCACCGCTGTGGCTCTGGGCTGGCCTGGGTCACCCAGCCCACGGCCCTGCTGGGCTGGATGTCCTGCCCCTTGGAGAAGGGACTAAAAGTGGTGGCAGAGCTAAGGTCACCTGCAGTCCTGGTGCCTGTGACACCTGTGGATGTGCTGAGGCTCATCTGCTTTTCTGCATCCGTGCCCTGAGGTTCAGCAGTGGGACATAAACCTTTCTGTACAGCTGGGGTTTGTACCTGTTCATGCTGGTGGGGAGGTCTCTCAGCCCTCACAAGAGCAATTCTCCTGCAGGAGAGGCCCAGTTCTCCCAGTTTCATCCTTCTGTTGGGAGGCTGGTTCTGTGAATTTGCCAGTGATGGACTTTTGCAGTAGGATGTTTTACAGTGGGTGCAGGGGCTGCAGTGACAGTGTTCCTGTAAAACCAGGAGTCAGGTCAGGGCTTGCTGGGGAGCAGCAGTGTGGTTATTTGTCCCTCTCAGAGGTCCTGGAGGTTGGCAGGAGCCCTGGGGCCTTCCATCTCCTGCACTGGGAGTTTTGAACTGCACTTAGGGTCAGTAACCCAGAATCTGCTCCTTGGCTGGGGCTGCAGCAGCTCCCAGTTTGTTTTTTCTCCCCCTTGGAAAAAAATCCAATCCCACTCACCATTCAGAGCTTGAAAAAAAAACCCCAAGACCTTTTCAAACCTAACGAATCATCCTCATTTGCATGCTCAGATCTGTGTTCCCTGGAGGGGCCCTGACCTGTTCCCTCTGTACACGAGTGTTCCTGTCCTTGAAGATGAATCCACACCAAATTTGGGTTCGGATTCGGTGCTTTTACACTGGTGTAAACCTGGGAGGGGCCAGGACTGGTCCTGTGTTGGTGTAAAGGCTCGTGCAGCAGCACTGGGGGTGGCTGCTCTTGCAGCAGCAGGGCCTGCAAATGTCATTTGCCAGCAAATGATTCGGAGACATTCCCTCCAGGAGCAGTCGGCCGATGGGCTCCGACGCAGCCTGGACCAGAGCCAGCTCTGTTTCACAAACCCTCATCTCCACACACCCTTCTCCTGAGTTTGCATAAAGGGAACATTAACATCTCTCCTCCAGGATGAGTAGCTGAAATGGAAAAGCTTCCTGGGCTGTACATGGTGGGTCCATCAAAGAGGCTCCTCCGTGATTTGCTCTCTCTGTGTCCTTGGGATACAGAGATTTTTGTCCACAAAGCTCCCTCTTCCAAATATATTTATATTTTTATTTGAATAAACAGGAGTGGAGCATCAGCTCTGCAATCCTCTCCAGGAGAGGACATGGGAGGGAAATCTAGAGATATTCAGAGCAGCTGGAAGCATTTGCTTCAGATCAGCATTTGGATTGCTTTTTTCTAGGGAAGATGTGCTCAGCCCCAGTAGCCTGTGGTCCAGCCCTGAGCAGTGTTTTGCTGTGGGAATCTTAAGATTTGGCCATAATGGGTTTGCACAGTGTGGTCTGAGTTCCTGGGCTGTTAAATGGCAGGGTTGTGTGAGATGCTATAAAGTGGGCTTGCAGTCCTGTCCATAAATGATACCATTGCATAGATCCTGAGCTCCCCCAAAGCTTTGTGCCAACACAGTTTCCCAATAAGGCAAAAATCAAGGGATTCTCTATGTGAGCTGGAACCAAAGGCCCAGCAATGCAGCCTCATGGCTGCTTTGGGGTGTGCATGGCAGCACACTTACCTCTACCCTTGAACAAATTGCCTTTTATGATTGCCCCAAAGTGCAGGTAATTTGTAAGCTTGCCTTCACCGCTGCTCCCTGGCAGCCGGCCAGGACGGGCTGGCAAATCTGGAGAGGAGCTTTCCAGAAAGCATCCTGCACATCCTGCACATCCACCCGAGTGGGCAGCTCAACCCACTGGTTAGGCTGGGCTTTGGGGGCTGCCAGGCTTTGCAGGTCAGTCTGGCAGGTGCAGGCTTTGTGCAGCAGGAGCTGCCCTTGGCCTGTGCTCCTGGGAGATGATGGACCACAAGGACTTGGATATTAAGGAATGGTTCTTCCCTCAGAGGGTGCTGGAGCACTGACCAGGCTCCCCAGGGCAGTGGGCACGGCCCCAAGGCTACCAGAGCTCAAGGACAACACTGAGGGCCAGGGTGGGATTGTTGGGGTGTCTGTGCAGGGCCCAGAGTTGGACTGGATGATCCTTGCGGGTCCCTTCCAGCTCGGGACATTCTGCTGTTCTGTGACTCGTGGTTATTGGTTATCCCAGGCCATCTGTTCCACTGTTGGTGTGTTGTGGGAAGGTGTGGGCAGGTATCCTGGCTGGGCTGGGATGCTCCAAGGGCAGGGGCACCCCTGGGCATGGCCGAGCTGGAGCAGAGCAGCCCCGGGGGGGTCTGTCCGTGCCTGCGGAGCGAGAGCGGCAGCGGCTCGGTGCCAGCCGGGGGCTCTGGCAGGAGCGAGATGCTGTTAACAGCCATGATTATTAGCAGAGTATTAACCATATGCTGCGGGGAGGCTGCTGTCAGAGGGGGTTTCTGGCTCGATGAGACGGTGCAGGGTGGGCAGAGGCCTGAGCAGTCGCCCAGGACCTGCTGCCTCATTTCCCCCGCCGCGCTCCGGCCCCGGGGCTGCTCCAGCCGTGGGAGCGGGGGTGGAATGCCTGGCTGTTGGCAGCAAGCAGGGCTCAAGCAGCTCCTCCTGCCATGCTGGAGGATGCTGAAGCTGTGCCCTGCTCCAGCCAAGGCCCCATGCCTGCCCTTCCCTGGTAAACCTCTCACTTTTGTTCGGAGCGGAGCAGTTTAAAGTTTGACTCCAGGCCGCAGTGGGCGTTTGGGGCCGCAGGCAGGAAGGTCTGTCTTAGGTGAACACAGATAGAATGTCCTGCTGGCAGTGGGCTTTGAGCCGAATTCCCTCTTCTCCCCACATTAACAGCTGGATACTTTCCACGCTGCAAAATAGATTTCAGGTTTGGAGTTCAGGCTTGAGGTTGGGTCAGCCTGGAGTTCAAAAGGTGGGAGAGGGGAGAAAATGAAAACTGATTTAATTTGAAAAGTGATGCACTGATAGAAGTGCACAATATATGAAATGCTGCTTGATTTTCCTTGTGTCTGGCAAATTCTCTTTCTTGCCTATGAGTTTGCTGGTGAAAGTTTGGGGTGTCTTGGCTGTAACCTCCCCGGGGGAGGGTGCGGGTGTTTGGATCCTCCCATGTGCTGGATTTGCCCTGGGAGAAGTGGATGGAGAAGAAATTCTTTGGGAGGGGTGGAAATGGAGCTACAAGGGTGTGCAGAAGTTGTCAGCTCTCAGGGAGGCTGGAGGTAGGACTTGAGAAACCAAAGACAGCGACTTAAGATGGGGGATTTTACATAACCGTTTCAATCTACATTTATTCAAATCTAACAAAGGCCAAGTAATGACCCAATTACAACCCTTGAGAGCTCCTGTCTGGGTCCCTCCTCAATGCCTGGGTCCCTCCGTAGGTGCCAGCTCCGGTTCATCTCCTCCCTGCCCCCCCCCAGTTTATTTTTAAAGCAGCATTTTAAAAGCAGAAAGGAAATTTGCAGTGGGTGGATGAACTTTGCCTGTGAGCGACACACGCCAGCGAGGGCAGGCGGCACTTCACGTATGACTTGTGCCCTGTGCCGGCTCCTCGGGGCTGCAGCCCACACCCCGGTGGAAAAAGAGGCTGGGAGCAAGAGAAAAAAAAACCCCAAACACTTCCTGGGGCTGCCAGGTGATGAGTGTGGAGGGGTAACCCGGGGTTCCCCCCTCCCCGTCACCCTGCTTGAACGGCTGGAGCTGTGCCAGGGGGGTTGGGATGGATCTCAGGGAAAGGTTCTTCCCCCACAGGGTGCTGGGGCACTGCCCAGGCTCCCCAGGGCAGTGGGCACGGCCCCAAGGCTGCCAGAGCTCCAGGAGCGTTTGGACAACGCTCTGAGGGACAGG